GAATAAAAACACACAAAAAAAAAAAAATGATCAACTGGTTATATGCAGACATAATAATTAAAATAACTAAAAAGCAATACAAATATTTGTTTTTGTAACTTAAAAAATTAATAATATATATTATGAAAAACATATAAGATACGTAACAACAAAACAACTTGAAAACAACTTTATACTAACAAATAAAAAATTAACAACGTTGTGTAATTTAGTATGTTGATGTATTAGAATCAAAATTTCAATTGTCTTGTCTAGAGCACCACTAAATTATAATTCAAGAACACACAAAGACTTCAACATATCACTAAAAGTATCCAAAGACATAGTGAATGGAATAATTTACGGCACATATAAATTAGCATACAATGAATTCACCATTATCTTTGAACAATTAAACATTCCACCATTATCAAGGCCCAATTTATTTGTACGAAACACTGACCCGCCCATTCCTAGCCCGATCCAACGCCCGAAAATCCCGAGAAAGACGATCACAAAAACAAGGATCACCTCCTTTCTTTTTTGAACTGATACTTCGTCTTCGAATTGGCCGGACAGTGGTTGCAAATAGCCAGAAAATAAGGATCACCTCCTTTCTTTTCATTTGGAGCCTTCGTGTAATGTCGGTCGAACATGACGGAATCCCGAGTTTTGACTTTACCGAGCCCAACAACTCGGACCGGCTGTGTGGGTTGTTGTGGCTGCTCATCCGGAGGAGTACTTCCAAATAGATCGTCGAGATGGTCCTCGTACGGCTGCTCTGGGCCCACCTCGTGTGAGGGTGGAGGCTGAACGAAATCGAACATTTGATCAATTGTGGCGGCATCTATATCGTCGGTCACGCCCGGGACATCTACATGTATCGTTGCATTCGCAAATGAGGGCAATGGAGGTGTCAACGACGATGCGCCTTCCCGTTGCCGCTTTTGCCCGGAGGGCCCGGACTTCGAACCACGGCCACGACCAAAAAAGCTCGACATTTTGAATTTAAAAAATAATATACAACAAAAAAACAAAAAGGAAGAGAGATTAGGGAGAGGAAGAGAGATTAGGGAGAGGAAGAGAGATTAGGTAAAATTTATATTAAAAATTAAGTAGATATATATTTTTTTTTTAATTAAAGTGGGAGAGAGATTAGGGAGAGATATTATTATGGAGTAATGGAGAGATTAGAGAGATTGAGAGAGTGTGGGAGTTTGGGAGAGATAGATGAAGATAGTGAGTGAGGTGTGTGGAGTGAGAGGGGGGGTATTTATAGGTGAAAATTTTTAAAATGTTCAAAATATTTTTTTTTTT